GGCTTCACAATGGTATGCAAATCCGGTGGTGGTGGAGGAGGATGGCCGGAGTTTAGAAGGTTGGCAGTGGCTGCTCCATTGTTTTGGTAGAAGAGGGTTGGAAATGGAAGAGATCGTTTCCCGTGTTTTTGATTTTTTCGTAGGTTTGGCTAGAAAACGTCTAAATGATGTTTTTTACGTTTTGTGTACAAATTTTTTTTTTTGTTTTCAAAAACGCGTTTTCGAAAATAGGAAAGAGAACTCGTTTTTATTATTTTGAAAAACTGAAAACAGAAAACGACCCAAAACAGCCAAAGAGAAAGGCACCTAATCATTTCATTTTCCCATCCAAACCCACTCACTCTGCGGCCAAACACCACCTTCAAAAAAAGAAAGCAATTGCCAGTGACGGAGAGCAGAATCACTAGAGGGAATGGGCATCTCACTATTCCTCCATCATCTGTTGCAACATAACATACATTGTAGAACTCAAATTGCAACCTGATGCAAAAACACCAAAAATCGTAACTAAACTCCACGTATATAATCGCTCATTTGACAACATCACCATTACTCTTCACCTCTCCAATTAAGTATCTATTTCATAAAAAAAAAATCCTTCAAGTTGTGACCCTATAATTCTTCAATTACCCATTTTTCACCCTCGAATCCATGGCTGCCTTTAGGGTCAATTTTCCTACACTCCCCATCCCCTACACCCCGCTACCACACCTAAGCTCCAAAACCATTTAGGATTTCCCATGAGTTTGATGCATGGACTTCCAAGATGATGTCATGTGTCATTCATCCAATGTTAAACAACAATGCTACATGTATAATGGATGATGACAATTGAGGATCACATTTTTTTAAAACTCATTTTAAATCGCACATTCTCTTATAAAATTATTATACATGTATTTAAAAAACTTTACCTTACTTCTTAACTACACACTCTTTAAAAAAATCATTTTGCATAATACATTTTACCGCAAGAATGGGGATCAAACGGGGGCAAAATCTCCCCCTTAAATGTCACTTATAGGGAATGCTATTTTACGCTCTTAATAGTAACTTAGCTTGGTATTTTCTCTTGCACAACATCGTACACTTCCTTGTGGCTCACATCTATTGTTCATCTCACACCCAATTCTACATTCATAGTTGATGACTTTACGTTGGAGTGCTTGTGGCCACCTCCCCCACTCCTAAGAAATTCAAGCGTATCTAATGGTTGTCTCATCTGCAGAGCCTTATACATTAACGAGAGTGGAGTCGAGATTTGTTGGCCACGCTTTCAAGTTGGAAATTGTGGTCAATACTTGTAATATGCAGCTTTTCTTATAGCTGGAAATGGGAGCTTTAACAGCTAATAGTTCGAGAGTATGAAATTTTTAGTGTTCCCGTAGAAGAAATAATTACTTCGTCGAATATGATAGCAATTAAGGGCAATTTTGTTGTCAACAATAAATATAAAAGAAATTGGGAAGGGTTTGAGACTTCAATCATCAATCAATATTTGCATTAAGAAAAGATAAAGTTTTTCCTGTAGGTTAGGCCTTTACAATCAACCGTTTGAGTAGCAAACTGGAAGTGCGTTATCTGTTATGAACAAAAGTAGGGTGGTGCGCACCGACAACGGTGCGGAATATGAAATGTTTGAGTAGCAAACTGGAAGTACAGTATCTGTTATGAACAAAATTAGTGTTGCGTCGATATCGGCAACTGTGTGATTGCAGCAGTAGTTAACTAGCCATATCACATATGTGGGGTGGGTGTACTTGGTTTGGGGAACATGATTATGTTTATTGGGGATGAGCGGCATCCTTGACATCCCCCATCTGCCCTGCTCTGGTCCTGGTGAAGGAGGTTAATTGCAGGTTATGCCTCAAAGGGTACATGGTGGAAGACTGCTTAGATACTTACACTTATCCAATGGCCAAATCCATATTTCAGGATTCGAACCCTTGACGCGATAGTTTCAAGCAAAACTTGAGTTTTATGGCCGAGTGGTGGTGGTTTGGAATGGGGAGTGCGGTAAATGGGGAAGAAGACATTTTTTTTCTTCTAAATTATTATTTAATTTTATGTTAATATATATATATATATAAGTTTGTAAATGAAATTTATTTGGTTTTTTTTGAATAGTCACGGGACTCTTCGACAATCTTCTTTATTTTTTATTATTTTATTGCTTCTTTTTATTTATTTTTATTTTAAAAGGAGGATAATTTGTCGAGTGAATTGTTTCAAAAATCACTGAACTTATACATGGTCACGGACTGCTCATCGAATTTCATTGTGATTTGAAGTAGTCATTCAACTTTGCCATTTACCTCTCCATCCATCACCGTCAAAAAATCCATCCATTAGGTATTGACGTGGTGGACGGAAATCCTAGTTGGCGATTAACAGTTGTTCAATTCTGGCCTCTTTTGACAACTCAGCAAAATCATGTCTCTCAAACACGATTTTGCCCTCAAAAAATAAAAGAAATTAAAAAAATGAAAACAACAGACACCGTCGACACCATTTCCAACGGCAGGACCTTCCATCCCCGATCTCCCTCCTCAAAATCAACCACACTCACCACCACCAACTAAACCACATCGCCAACGCCCATATCCACACCAATTGACAGCAAATTTGCAATTTAACAGAAGAAAAAATGGGGCAGATTTCATAAATGGCTAAAAAGTGGGCAGATTTTGATTCGAAAAATTGGAGCGAGTAATGTATCAATCGATTCAATTGAGGAGTTACCCAATATAGTATTGACTTGCTGAAGGTTCTACTGGGTCCAATTTGTAGCAATGACATTACTTTGCCCGTCAATTGGAGGCGGATTCACCGAACTATATGCTTGAAATTTGGGGCTGAAAATTTTGCATTGTTGCACTATTTGATGAAAAAAAACCGTGGTTAGATGCGCCTTGGTGTGTAGAAGAGGCCCATATGTGTTGGGCATGATGGGTGTGATCGGAAGGGTGGTTGTGGCCAAGTTTTTAGGCTGCGAAAGGGCTGATTTTGTGGCTATGGAGGTGCATTTGGGTCCGGCGTGAGGTTGGGATGGTGGTCGGGAATTTGTTGGGCGGGTGACACCGATGCCGGTGGTGGTGATGCTCGACAGCGTAGGGGGCGGGATGGTGGTTTTTTGGAGGTGGAAGTCGGCGATGACAGAGGGAAGGTTATGCCGATTGTTTTCGATTTTTCCTATTTTTTTTATATTTTATAAAATATGTTTAAAAAAAAATAAAAAATCCACATGTATAATATTTGTTTGATTTGATACTTAGTTAACGTCGTTAATCGCCACCTAGGATTTCCGTCCGTCACGTCAACGCCCAATGGATGGATTTTTTTACGGTGATGGATGGAGAGATAAATGACAAAGTTGAGTGAGTACTCTGAACCACAATGAAGTTCAGTGAGCAGTCCGTGACCATGTATAAGTTCAGTGATTATTGAAACAATTCACTCATAATTTGTCAGTTAATAAACAACGAGTATTGCTACATAATTATAAGGTTGAAAATTGGTTATACTGAAATAAAAGTTGGAGTGTAGATTTGTTACATTTTGTAAAGATTTATCCATTGTTTGACATCCCTAAAATTTAAAAACACTGTTTTGATTAATATTTTTTTAGAAAATACGTGGTTAAAAAATAGAAATTTTTTTTAGGTTTATGTATATAATATTTTATTATGTGAATGTGTATTTAAAAATAAGTATGAAAAATAAATTAAATTGAAGTAAAGAAGGTCACACTGGAGAAATAGAAGTGCAAATTTCCCTAAAAAAATTATAGATTAATCACGTAGTTACAACTATAGTCGTTCCACTGCTTTGCCATGGTGGTTGAACTAGGGTCAATGCTTGTACTCATCAATTTTCACCCATGACGATCAAACGAATTAAAAATTAATTCAGAATATAAAACGTCGTCGCTTATCTGTCGCCGACAACCCAAATGGTAATAACGCAAATTTATAAATTTCTGAAAAAACTGTCCCCTCCATAAATCCGCCATTTTTATCTTCTTCAGCAGCTCTTGCTCTCAGTCTGGCCATGAAAGTTTAACATTATTCATGAAAATCTAATTAGCCTTAACGAATTCACACACAGAGGCCTTGTAAGATTTTTGTTTGTCCAGAGTTTTTTGAACATGGTTTCTGTAGAAGAATCACAGTCGCATTCTCTTCCCTACTCCAATGCCAGTACCTGTACGCGCATCCCCCAAACACGCATTAACTATTACACGCCACCGCCATCTTCAGCCAAAGTCCCCTGTTCAATGGGCCGCTCCATGCGCACCGTCCGGTCCAACCTCTTTCAGACCGAAAGGCCTGATAAGTCGCCTGCCATTTTTGAAAACTTGACCGACTCGGTTATTGACCTCCGACTCGACGAGCTCGCTAATAAATCGCTAGTTAATTTGATAACCTCTTGCTCCGAAGACATTGATTTTTTTTTTGATGTCTCTCAGGCTATTAGTGACTTCTCAGCGTGCTCCAGTGATATATCTGGAGAACTCCAGCTACTTGTAGGCCTCCTCACCTCTACAGATGCCGGATTGAATTCGGAGCTCGAGCTTGAGTTGTCATCGGGCTTTTCCACGGAGATTATTGAGAATTTTTTGCCTGAAGACCTACAACGTACTATTAAACTATGTGTTGATGGGTTACAGTCTTCTTCCATTGCAGCGAGAAGGTTAGCAGCAGCTAAATTAAGAATATTAGCCAAGAATCGGGCTGATAATCGAGAATTAATTGGGGAGTCTGGGGCAGTACCGGCTCTGATCCCACTTCTCCGGTGCTCTGACCCGTGGACCCAGGAACACGCAGTCACCGCGCTGCTCAATTTATCCCTCCATGAAAACAATAAAAGCCTAATCACAAATGCAGGAGCTGTAAAATCCTTAATTTACGTACTAAAAACCGGCACAGAAACGTCAAAGCAGAATGCAGCTTGTGCTTTGCTGAGCTTGGCTTTGATTGATGAGAATAAATTGTCAATTGGGGCTTGCGGAGCTATACCTCCATTGGTGGCCTTGCTCATACATGGGTCAAATAGAGGGAAAAAGGATGCTTTAACGACACTGTATAAGTTGTGTTCGGTGAAGTTTAATAAGGAGAGGGCAGTGAGTGCCGGTGCTATAAGGCCATTGATTGGCCTTGTTGAGGAGCAGGTAACGGGATTGATAGAAAAGGCGATGGTGGTGTTGAGTAGTTTGGCAGGGATTGAGATGGGACGCAAGGCAATAGTTGAAGAAGGTGGGATCGCTGTCCTCGTGGAGACTATTGAGTATGGAAGTGATAGGGGGAATGAGTTTGCTGTTTTGACTTTGTTACAGTTGTGCGGGAAGAGTGCTAGGAATCGGGGATTGCTTGTTAAGAAAGGAGGCATTCCGCCTCTGGTTGCACTGACCCAGCCTGGGACTGCCAAAGCCAGGCATAAGGTGAGATTTCTGTTAATATCCCTATAATTTCTGTTAAAAAGTTGTGATTTTTACTATTAGGGTCCGTTTGATTGTAAGGGTGGAAAATGAGTGGAAAAAAAATATTTTACGGGGAATTGATTTTTCTAGAAAATGTTTTATTGGGAATTGTAATTAATTGTGTTTGGTTGATATAATTTTTCATGGAAAATGTTGAAAGTTTGGTGTCTATTTGACTTCGTTTTTTATGGAATTTGCCCATTAAAGAGATAATTTTTTCTACCATTGGGTCTAAAATTTGTTCCAATTGTAAAAAAAAAAAATTTACCATATTGAATATAATTCGTTTGACTTTGTTTTGCATGGAAGTTGTCAATAAAAATGACAATTTTTTGTACCAACTACTAATATCATAGTAATCAATTTGTACCCACACACACACATTACATCAATAACTTGTGTGATTAGATACTATAGTATTGTGATATTAATACATTATTAGCTCGATAAAATGGAAAATTTTTAGAAATTATGATGACTTCTGAAAGCTGAACGTTAGCATTATGGAATTATTAGTTTTGTGATTTTGTTTCATTGTTACCAACTTTGGTTGTTTGTTACTCATAATTGGGTATGCGATATCATGATTCTCTAGAAATTCTCTAGGTCGGTCTTACTCTAGCATTATATATAGAAATAATTAACTTCCACACAATATTGATTTCAATATCTGCGAAGAATGATATTGATGATTGTTGGTTGTTTTGGCAGGCTGAAACACTTCTTGGGTACCTGAGAGAATCAAGACAAGAAGCTTCTACTTCAAGTCCTTAAAGAGAGGTACTTGAGATGGTTTAATAGTATATTGTATATAGGAAGTGTTTGGATGGAATTGTACATTGGTTGTGTAATTTGCTAGTTTATGAACATGTAAACTGGAAGAATTTGTAGAAGCAGGCCTGTAAAAGTTTTACCTTTTTGTTGGATTCTCCTAAGCCACGTTGAAGTTACACTTCATCTTGTAGGCTTATCCGACTGTACATTGTGCACTTCCTCTTTGAAGTCGCTTTGAAAGGTGAATTTTCCTTAATGACTAATATCTTGAGTTAGCTCTTGACATCACAACCATCTGGAGTAGGATTAAGTTAGTGTTCCTTGACCGCTAAGTCTTTTTTTTTTTATGTCGACCAGCCTACAACGTGTCCTTAATTTGTTAAGAGAGATGCTGCTTGTACAGAAATAAAATCAACATAAAATTCACAGAAATAGACTCACATGTGGGTCCTGTGCAATTTTTTTTTTAAATACACGATGAGGCCCACTGTTTGTGTGTATTCTGGTGAGTTTATGTGGTTTTCTCTATGTACAAGGAGCAAAACACATTTGTTAAACGAGTACCTCTATTTTTTCTCTCGTTATTATTGTAATTATTATTTATTACATTCGCTGGTGGAGTAGCTGTGTTGGATTTTGCTGGTCTTACAGTTTTGGCTCACAGTAATTTTGACAGTCTTTTGAATTTGTTGACGTGGCAATGACCCGGCCCAACTAATCAAAACTCACCCGGCCCAGTACAATTGAAAAGCGGTAATTTCCCAAAGGATCCCATTTCCCACCTTCCCCAAATCTCCCCCCTAATTTTTCACCGCCATTC